AACGTATTGACCTAATAATACAATTGGTAATACGGTTAGTAGATCCAGAAATGCGGTTAGTAGCAATAATAATATATATATATACAGTCTGGGAAATTTAGTATCGAAGTATGACTTCCTTCTGAGTCTACGTGCTCGCAACTGTGACTCCTACAAAGCGGTTACCTCACACGTTCACTGTATCAGTGTATCTCTCTGTTACTCACTCTATCTCCCGGGTATTCACCGGCAGCAGTACAAGTACACACTGGGCGAGTCCACTTGTATGAAAAAGGGGTGGACCCTATAACAGTAACCTACTGATGTCCAATAATGGATGACATGTAATGTAGATGACAATTCATCTAGAAAAACTGGAAATAAATCCAATATATCTCAATACAAATTAGGAACACATGGCGGAGTGGATAAAGGCGTTAGTTAGATCCAGTGACAGGGCCCAAAGAGTGTGAGTTCAATACCCGATCAAGGCAGTGGAGAACTTTCAAAGGGGAATTAACAGGAGATAACTGATAACTAACATCCATTAAACATGGCACGTGGAACTAGAACAGTCTACCCCAGTTGGGTTCAGTTCGACATTCCAACCACCTGAAGAAGGACGGAGCGTACAATGGCCGTAACGTTGTAATAATTATGGCGACAAAGATGAGTACAATAGTCCGAATAATGTAAATAGTGTAAATTGGGAACATTTCATAATTGGTCATTTCATAAGTAAATCGACAATGTTTTGGGAGAATTTTTAACTTGGTATTTTGTCTTGTTAAATGTTGAATAAATTAACATCTTTAAAATTATGAGTAAAAATGGTGATTTTTATATAGTGTTTTATTTGAGACTTAGCATGAGCAAAACAAATTCACGGATTTATACGAAAAAAAAAAGACCTCAGTATGACGTCAAAATCCGCGAAAATTTTTAATCCTTTAAATCCTTTTTAATCGCTATGCTTCGTTTAATTTTTAACGTAGATAAATGTAGATAGAAAAAGCAAATGTTCATCAGATGGCGAAGTTCACAAAGCACTATCATGGCCCCCAATCAAACTCTGCTCCAGTCGGGTCGTTTGGAAGGCAGTATGCGCCGGCTCTGATGGGAATGGTAATGCCAATATTCAGCTCAGTTCAGTTATGTACCATACGTGATACACACTTAGGCGATCATGTATATTTTCGATACATGACTGACGAGGCAGATTTTTTCCCGCAGTAGGTTGCCATTTCTTAGACCAGTTACCATCCAAAGGCTATAGAACCCGGTCTGTCCTGCTATTTACCCATAACTGAGGGGAAAAGAAGAGGATTAATCGGAGTTAACTGCTCCTTAATTGTCCAAATATTTCACTAGGGCACGCTTTCCCCACATTATAAATACCGGGCGAATTCACGCCTCGCCCTTTTTTTTAATTGCTTTTCAGCGAACACATCTACATCTCGCAAAACATAAGCGTCTTCCCATTTTCCACGTCATGAACATTATGCACACATACACGTACGTACGAACATTCACCTAAATACAAACTCTTTACGTTCACACACAAACTTTGATGTCTTTGTCACTTGTAAATTTGTTCTTTAATACATATAATTGTTGAAATATATATATATATATATCTCGGTCTTGTTTGTTTTCTTTCCATTCTTCCGTTGGACTCGATTTGAGTCCGGCTTGTTCTTGTAGTTGGACCTTCTTCTAACAGGAAATAAACGCACGTGTTTCTAATCCAACAACACGTTAACACACACGGGTCCGCTACAGATTCATACCTTTCCTAATGTATGAGCACGTAATGGATTCGACTGGAATTCGAACTCGGCTCTCCGATTCCTCAATCCGAGCCGCTATCCATTATTCCACCGTGCCTCCAATGCTAATATTAGAACTTCCCATAAAAGGAAACATTCGATACACATTTACGGGCTGCTATTCTCAGTTTAAATTTATTTTTGTTCAAACAATTTTTCAGAGAAATAGATTTCTCATGTCCAGTAACTGTTATTACTCTTTCGAGTAACAGATGGGGGTTTCCTTTCTAAAAATTTTTAAAAAGTTATGTGGAACGTCAACTTTTTGGTGATGCCATTATTTTTCTGTGAGTTGCAGGTGCTGTCCATTTTAGCTGTTTAAAGTCCTCAGATGATGTGGTTTCTGTTATTTACTGCAGTTCTTTGAGATTCCATAACGCCAGTCAACATGATTCCTTCATGTATTGTCCTCGCTAAGACCTACGGGCTTAATTTAAAAGACACCTTTAGTCATCGATCAGAGGAAGCTTTTGTATACACCTGACAGTTTAGATATTTAGGTTGGTGGTGTTCTAAACATAGCTTAAATGTAGCACATAGCCGAAAATATGGAGCACTTAGTGCGGATCAAACCCACTACTCAGTTATAATTTATTGAGCAAGATAAGTGCGCTAACCATTAAACAACGTCGTGTTGACTCGATCTCCTAAGCGTAGTTTAGATGTGACACGAGGCCGAAATTATGGATCACCCAGTGAGGATCGAATTCACTACTCTGTCGTAATTGATCTAGCACGATAAACGTGCTAACCATTACACCAGTCTCGTTTTGCTGAGTGTTGCTTAGATGTGGCACAAGGCCGAAAGTATCGAGCACCCAGTGAGGATCAAACTCACAACTCAGTCGTAATTGAACTAGCAACACAGGATTGATAAATATTACACGACGTCGAGGTGACCAATATTTTTGAATGGGTTCATCGTCATGCATGACATTCGTATAAAATTCTCAATCTGAGGAGTTTTAATGTTTTGGTTTAGTGGCAATTGGCGGATTTGGGCGAAACTAGCGCTGTCTATTCTACGTCTATTTTCCTAATCTCCTATATTAAATTTGTTACTGCTTATTGGTTTGTGATCTTCATTGAAATTTCTGTATCTATAATTAAATCACAGTTGTTTTCGATTCCTCAGAGTAATACACCCTTTTGCAAATTAATGGAAACAAAATATATCATTCCGTCATATTTTTTCGTATTTTTCTAATGAAACATGACCCAATGCACACGTTAGTACTTCGTATGTCAATTCCACGAAGTCTTTACTTGCAAATTGATCACAGATTGGGTTTAAATCAGGAGAGTTTCCGAGCCAGTCGGTAGTACTTTTATTTGCCCACTGGTAAGGCTTGGCATTGTGTTCGTGCAGCGTTACAATTTTCGTACGCTTCCTTGGAGTGACGTCAATCGCATTTCAATGGTCGTAGGACAACTAATCGACAGTCGAGACAATAGTGCCTGGGCGTGAAAAAATCTGATGCAATCACGAATGACGCAATATTTTTCAAGGCCAAACAAATTTCATCATACAACCTGAAAATAGATTCATATTACAGCACACCACTGCAGATAATCTAATCTGAGGAAAAAATAGAAATCATTTGCACCCTTTCACTCCAGTGGGTCTAAAAATGATCGTATGGTGAAAGAAAGATAACGAAAGAGGTGGTTTCTATTAATTTGCACAAGGGTGTATGTTTCTTATACGAATGATATCTGTAAAAGTATTGGGCGACTAAGAAATGTCTGAGTAATACGGCGTGGAATGCAAGGCAATGGCTTCAGAAATGAAGAAAAATATTGAAGGGATTTACATATGCTTCTACTAACAAATGTTGAGATTATCATAGATAGAACATGTAAGTAATAAGGAAGTTTCTTCTGGAGAACAAGAGTTAAAAAGTGCATCAAAATATATATTTAAATTTATAACTTACTGAACAGCAAGCGCCATGTGTGAGACATACAGTCTTTATACTGTCTTGGGCACCTCGAGGCGGTGTAATGGTTAGCATGTTTATCTTGGTAGAACC